GAGAGCGTGAAAGACTCTTGGTAACAGTACAGGTTCCACGTACTGCTGGGCTACTTGGAGAATGTAGTGTTTAATTTCAGGCACCCAAAGAAACGTCTCAGATTCTCCAGCGTCGCTGCATCCGTTATATTTGAGGGCATTGGGAGGCAGTGCATAGGGAACACCTTAAGATGCTGCAGAATATTTTTGCAGACAATCTGTATATCACCTGTAGTCAGAGGTGAGTGTCGAGATGGCCTACGGCTGGTGGGCACCAGTGGAATATCAGGTCATGTTGGGGCCATCCTTGGAGGTACTGAAGGACGATCCCGGCAGTATCCTGCCTGAGTGAGGTGTGTTGTTGCCTGCTGGTGGTGGTCGAGGGCAGCCAGGGAGGGCAGGTCGTTGAGGTCAGGCCAGACATGAGGTCCAACAGGAGTGCTGCAGTGAGGGCATTTTTCACCACAGTGTGTACGGCATGGTGTGTAGGTGTGGTGTGGTGTAGCAGGGGTCAGAGTGATGTGGCAGGTGTGACGGGTAGTAAGAGTGGGTGGAGGGAGCGTGGCTAGGCAGGACGTCTCATGTGCCACAGTTCGGCCGCCACATGTCACCGACGTCATGCCTCTACACTGTTAGGTGGGAGCGTGGGTATATGGCGGTCATTTAGAGTGTGTTAGGTGCCGTGTGAGGCGCGCCACACCCTACCTACAGGGTGGCGCCCAGGCCCTATTGTTATCATATTGCACGGCCCAGCCTCGGCCGGCTTACTGCTGGCGATGCCCGCGAGCACTGCCACATGTCGCCACCTCAGCGCCCACACGCCCACACTCCCCGAAAACCACCACCTCCGCGCCCTCGTGCCCTGAACGCCGCCTGGCCCACGCTGCTGTTGCAACAGCTGCTGTGTTATGACAGCAGCAGGAGGTGGAGGAAAGGCGGCGGTGCACGAGGCCCTGGAAGGTGCTAAGGGTGTCCGCGGCCCTGGGGATATTTATAGTGCTCCTGCCCCTCCCCACCCACCCACCCTCACCTGCTGCACCTCACCTCCTCTCATCTGGAACACACACACACACACACACACACACACACACACACACGGCAAAAATAAACGAACAGTTTTACCTGGCGAGATTTTTTGTTGTTTCCAGCGTTCATTCTCCCTATGTGAGTTTTATGAATGAGTAGTAACGTGGCGGCCAGATGCGCGCTGGCTGCTGCTACACCGTCCTCACTACCGCTACACAAACACACATACACATTATCATTTATCTATTTTCTAAACTCATAAACTGACCCTATTCCACTTCCTTCCTCCTCCTCCTCAACTCTCCTCCTCCTCAACCTCTCCTTCCCCTTAGCCTTCCTCCCAAGTCCACCTCACCCGTTTCTCGTCCTCACCTGTTTCTCTCCCCACACGTCCCTCCTCACCCTGTCCTCCACAGTACCATGTAATGGTTTATAGCACCTTGATGGGTCGACGACCTCCTGAGGCAGGTAGGTGTGTCCTCAGAAATTGCTGTACAGTCTCCTCCTTCCTCCCCCAACCCCTTCCTCCCTACCCCTTCTCCCTTCCTTCTCCTTCCTCCTTCCATCCCTCCCCCTCCTTAGTCATACCTGTCTTGTTTATATGACTGAAATTTACCTTTTCTTCACCTGTGATTGCTTGGGGGTAAGGAGGGAGGGAGGAGGAGGAGGAGAAGAAGCAGGAGGAGGCAGTATTCATTATTAACACCTCCTCCCTCCTCCCTCCCTCCCCCTCCCTCCCTCCCTCCTTCAGCCAGCCCCTGAAAAACCTGTAATTTTCAGAGTTTTGTCGACAAAGGTTGTTTTAAGGTGAGATAAAGAGCTGGAGGATTATACCTCACCACTACCACCACTACACCATCTCACCACAGAACCACCAGCACCATCACCACCACCCTCCACCACCATTACCTTCCACCACCACCACCCCCACCACCACCATCCACCACCCTCCACCACCATCCACCACTACCATCATCCACCCCACACTCACCACCATCCACCAACCACCACTCATCACCACCCACCACCCACATCACCACTACCACCACCATCTCCACCAGAACCAGCACACCACCACCACCACCACCCTCCACCACCATTACCCACCACCACCACCACCCACCACCATCATCCACCCACACCCACCCACCACCCACCAACCTCTTCGTCTTCTCACGGAATTATCCAACTCACCCCTCGTATAATTCTTGGCAAGTTACCCGCTAAATTTATCTTCACACAAAATTGTCAAGATCCCGTGTTGTTTATGTCGTTAACAACTGATTATTGTTTATGTATTATTGTGTTGAGTTTAAGTTTACACACACACACACACACACACACACACACACACACACACACACACACACACACACACACACAGTATGTGCCCTTCTCAACCCCAGATGTGACCTCTTAATTCACCATTGCAGGCGTTTTTTATATTTGACGTTCAACATGATAAACTGCCAATGACTGAGAATATATACGAAAATTACCAGTAGAGAGCTGAGGTGTTGAATGCCAGTCTGGTGTTGAGTGCCACCCTGATGTTGAGTGCCAGTCTGGTGTTGAGGCCAAAGATGGTGTTGAGTGCCAGGTTGGTGTTGAATGCCACCCTGGTGTTGAGTGGTGTTGTGTCTAGAGTGACAGATAGAGAGACAAATCGGTCTTGTCTGGGTTTTCGCTTTAAGCTTTAGTTATTACCCAAAGAAAACTGATTAATATAGGAGTTGTTTTCTGATGATCAGTTATTTTCGATGTTGACTGTGAGAGAGAGAGAGAGAGAGAGAGAGATCATAACGAAGGAAGGTGAGAGGTGTGTGTGTGTGTGTGTGTGTGTGTGTGTGTGTGTGTATGTGTGTGTGTGTGTGTGTGTGTGTGTGTGTGTGTGTGTGTGTGTGTGTGTGTGTGTGTGTGAGAGAGAGATGTTTTGGGCGCCCAGCCAGAAGACGGGGGCCCTCCAACTGTCTTCCAGAACCCCACTCTTTACAACCTCTTAGTTTCATACGAGAAAATCCCTTCAACCTTTCGGATACTATCTTGGTGATTTATAACTACATGGATGTATCACAAAGAGATAATAAAGTAATCATTTATATCTTTTTTTATACGTACTGTGTATAATAATACAATGATAATGATTATAAATGGCTTTTTCTCCATGTGGACGAGCTACTAACAGGCCATTGTTTTCCAACAGGCATGTTGTGGTCCTGAGGCAGGTGTGTCCTCCACCACCACTACCACATCTCCTCCCAGAGAGCGCGGTACTGCCACTGTCACCTCCCACTGTGTACCACAACTCACACTAATTATATATTATGTATATTTGTGAAAGTAAAATTGTGTGTGTGTGTGTGTGTGTGTGTGTGTGTGTGTGTGTGTGTGTGTGTGTGTGTGTGTGTGTGTGTGTTCAGTAATGTGTTTGTTGTGTAATAAAGGTGCACTGTAATTTGCTTCTGACTTAAACTAGGGTTCATTATACTTTCTGGCATGAAAATACAGACGTATAATGTGTATTGTGGTGATCAAGGTAGGCTGTGAATCTTCCTGTTACAAGACCCTCTGTAATATGTATTTTATTGAACCAAACCAGGATGAACCAGAGTACAACACCCACTGTAATATCTAATTTACTGAATCAAGGCTGGTTGTAATCCCGGTTCAACAAGATTGGCTGTATTCCGGTTTAACAAGACTGGCTGTAATTCCGGTTTAACAAGATTGGCAGTAATCCCGGTTTAACAAGACTGGCTGTAATCCCGGTTTAACAAGACTGGCTGTAATCCCGGTTCAACAAGATTGGCTGTAATCTTCGTGTAACAAGACTGACTGTAACGCTAATTTTACTTTATCAAAACTGGCTGTAATCTACATGTTTACAAAGACGACCCAAGACAAACCTTTAATCTCAATGTTACATATAGACAGATACATAATAGAGACTGTGTTCTTGTCACCGTACAGGATCAAGGTTGGTGGTCATTTTCAGCACTTTGTATAAACCTTAGACCGAGTGTCAGTCTCTTTATGGAATGTTTACACTCACAAAAATACCCACCTAAAAAGCTATGGCGGAGATTTTGGTGGTCTGGGTTTTTGGGTTGACTGATAAGAAAACTTTGTATAATCTTTTTGGTTGTAGACCTCTGGATTATTATCATTATTATTAAGAACATTGAGATGACCTATAATTTCCTCGTTACCTAACCGGTATTTAGTATAATTTTTGTTTTAAAATTTGGATAATTGTAGGTCTTTTCTTCTTCATTTTCTATAAAACTTAAACACGCTATAATTTGAACGTTTTTTCTTAAGACTTAATATATTCGTTATATAACTAGGTATAATATAGGTTTTATCTTATTAATTAATATATATGCATATAAAAAGGACCCGCTATAATTATCGTATATAATATATATAACAGTATATATAAATATGACACTTATTATAGTTTTCGGGTCACTTGAAGATTAAATACCCTATCGCTAACTCCAACCCAACCCAACCCAACCCCTAACCTAACCTAACCTAACTTATCTTATCCTAACCCAACGCTAACTAACCTAACCTAACCCAACTCTAACCCAACCCAACCTAACCTGACCTGACCTGACCTGACCTAACCTAACCTAACCCACTCCCAACCTAACCTAACTTATCTTATCTCCTAACCTAACGCCAACCAAACCTAACTAACCAACCAACCGAACGCTAACCAAACCCACCTAACGCCAAACCAACCATCAACCTAACGCTAACCTAACGCCAACCTAACCTTTACATAAAGAGATTGGGTATAATGTAGACTTGTGCGGGTATAGGCGTGGCCGGATGTCGCGAGGACAATTGAGGGTGGGTGTGGTGGGCGGGCAGGTGGCGGGGACAGGCGGCGGCGGATGTAGTCAAGGCGGGCGGGTGGGCGTGGTCATGGCTAGCGGCGGGCGGGCATGGGGGAGAGAGCTACAACAAGTTGGTAGTGATGGCAGTCATGGCCGGATGTAGAACGTTAGGATGGGTGTAACATGGGCGTGATGTGGGTAGGTGTAACACGGGCGTAATATAGGTGGTAATGGCATGGACATGATATGGGTAGGTGGCATGGGTGTGATGTGGGTGGGCATGGGCGTTATATGGATGAGTGGCAGCGTGATGTAGATGAGTGGCATGGGCGTTATGTAGATGAGTGGCATGGGCGTTTTGTGAGTGTGTGTGCGAGATGTGGGTGAGTGGGGCGGTGAGGATGGCGGGACACCGTCAAACAGTGGTCGACTTTGACATGAGAGATGTGTTGAAGCGTCTATTTTGACACAAGGAGTCTCGTAAGATGAACGTTTTTGTGTGTACATTATCATGAGAGTGTGTGTGTATGTGTGTGTGTAATAATAATAATAATATTAAATAATAATAATAAACGGTTTATTAATAGACTGCAGCGGTGGCTGAAAATATACAGACTTACATTTGATTTAAACATAATGATATAATATGCATTGAAAACATTTACAGGGCTGTACAGTACATAAATCAGAGTTGTTTATTATTTTAACAATAGATGGGACGGTGCTGTTCTTATATCTATCGGTGCGGGCTCTTATGGCTGAATTTTGTTGTAGTGGCGGACTGCGCGAGTTGGGTGGGGGCTGCAGAGGTGGCGATGGCAGGGGTGGTGCAGTAGTCCACTGCCAAACCTTTCCAGTGCTTGGTGGTGGAGGTCACTGAGGATGGCATTTCCAGGGTGGAGAAGGCGTTGGTGTAGCGAGTATTGCGCCGAGCATGATTCTGCAGGCCTTTTCTGTACCTTCTCTAGCTGACGTTGTTGGGTGGAATTAAGAAGACGACCAGGCTGGTGACGCATACGTTAGTTTGGGAGAATAAAGGCGTTGTAGATGGTCCTCAGCTCTGGCGTGGGTGTCCCCAAGTGACCTAAGTCGTCGTAGCATGTAGAGACGGTACGAGGCTGCCTTGACTGTGTTATTTACATGGGCCTTCCAGTCAAGTTTGTTGTCTAGTTACACCCAAGAGTTGTGTGTGTGTGTGTGTGTGTGTGTGTGTGTGTGTGTGTGCGTGCAGGTAGGTCAGCCATTACTCTGCCTTATTTACATTATAAAGTAATAAATGTCCTGGGCGGCACCTAAGGGCAGGGCTGCTCCTCCGTCCTCACGCTGCCCTTGGCCACGTCCTGCTGGGTCTTTTGGGTTCTGGTAGGTCCCTCTAGGGTTCTGGTGGGTCCTCTTGGGTTCTGGTGGGTCCTCTTGGGTTCTGGTGGGTCCTCTTGGGTTCTGGTGGGTCCTCTTGGGTTCTGGTGGGTCCTCTTGGGTTCTGGTGGGTCCTCTTGGGTTCTGGTGGGTCCTCTGGGGTTCTGGTGGGTCTCTTGGGTTCTGGTGGGTCCTCCTAGGGTTCTGGTGGGTCCTCTGGGGTTCTGGTGGGTCCTCTTGGGTTCTGGTGGGTCCTCTTGGGTTCTGGTGGGTCCTCTGGGGCTCTGGTGGGTCCTCTTGGGTTCTGTGGGTCCTCTGGGGTTCTGGTGGGTCCTCTTGGGTTCTGGTGGGTCCTCTTGGGTTCTGGTGGGTCCTCTTAGGTTCTGGTGGGTCCTCTTGGGTTCTGTGGTTCCTCTGGGTTCTGGTGGGTCCTCTGGGGTTCTGGTGGGTCCTCTTGGGTTCTGGTGGGTCCTCTTGGGTTCTGGTGGGTCCTCTTGGGTTCTGGTGGGTCCTCTTGGGTTCTGTTGGGTCCTCTTGGGTTCTGGTGGGTCCTCTTGGGTTCTGGTGGGTCCCCTTGGGTTCTGGTGGGTCTTTGTAGGTACTGATGGATTTTACTTGGTCCTCGTGGCTTTTGTTGAGGTCTTCATGGGTTTTGGGTCCTCGTGGGTTTGGTGGGTTCTTCTGGGTCTTAACAGGGTCTTTGTTGGTCCTCTTGGTAGGTGCTGTTCCTTCAGGTCTACGTCGCCCTAAACAGCTCTTAATGGCTCCTTCGGGTCTACAGATCACCTAAACAGCTCTTAATGGCTCCTTCAGGTCTACATCGCCTAAACAGCTCTTAATGGCTCCTTCAGGTCTACACGTCACCCTAAACAGCTCTTAATGGCTCCTTCAGGTCTACACATCACCCTAAACAGCTCTTAATGGCTCCTTCAGGTCTACGTCGCCCTAAACAGCTCTTAATGGCTCCCTCGGTTTACACATCACCCTAAACAGCTCTTAATGGCTCCTTCGGGTCTACACGTCGCCCTAAAACTCTTAATGGCTCCTTCAGGTCTACACGTCGCCCTAAACAGCTCTTAATGGCTCCTTCAGGTCTACACGTCGCCCTAAACAGCTCTTACAAGCTCTTCAGGTCTACACGTCGCTCTAAACAGCTCTTAATGGCTCCTTCAGGTCTACGTCGCCCTAAACAGCTCTTAATGGCTCCTTCGGTCTACACGTCGCCCTAAAAAGCTCTTAATGGCTCCTTCAGATTACGTCGCCCTAAACAGCTCTTAATGGCTCCTTCAGGTCTACGTCGCCCTAAACAGCTCTTAATGGCTCCTTCAGGTCTACACGTCGCCCTAAACAGCTCTTAATGGCTCCTTCGGCTACCACATCACCCTAAACAGCTCTTAATGGCTCCTTCGGGTCTACACGTCGCCCTAAACAGCTCTTAATGGCTCCTTCAGGTCTACACGTCGCCCTAAACAGCTCTTAATGGCTCCTTCGGGTCTACACGTCGCCCTAAACAGCTCTTAATGGCTCCTTCAGGTCTACACGTCGCCCTAAACAGCTCTTAATGGCTCCTTCGGGTCTACACGTCGCCCTAAACAGCTCTTAATGGCTCTCTTTAGGGGGAGAAGATTGACTACCTCAGGAGACCTAGGGACCTACATCAGGAGACAGGACCTACATCAGGGGGACCTAGGACCTACACCAGGAGACCTGGGACCTACATCAGGGGGACCTAGGACCTACATCAGGGGACCTGGGACCTACATCAGAGACCTGGGACCTACATCAGGGGGACCTAGGACCTACATCCAGGGGACCTGGGACCTACATCAGGGGACCCTAGGACCTACATCAGGGTCACCCTGGGACCTACATCACGGGGACCTGGGACCTGCATCCGGGGGACCTGGGACCTACATCAGGGGACCTGGGACCTACATCAGGGGACCTAGGTACATCAGGGAACCCTGGGACCTACATCAGGGGACCTGGGACCTACATCAGGGGACCTGGGACCTACATCAGGAGACCTAGGACCTACATCAGGGGACCCTAGGACCTACATCAGGGGACCTAGGACCTACATCAGGGGACCTAGGACCTACATCAGGGTCACCTAGGACCTACATCACAGGGACCCTGGGACCTACATCAGGGGACCTGGGACCTACATCAGGGGACCTGGGACCTATCAGGGACCTAGGACCTACATCAGGGGACGGGACCTACATCCAGGGTCACCTAGGACCTACATCACGGGACTGGGACCCCACATCAGGGGACCTAGGACCTGCATCAGGGGACCTGGGACCTACATGGGGGACCTGGGACCTCACATCAGAACCTAGGACCTACATCAGGGGACCTGGGACCTACATCAGGGACCTGGGACCTACATCAGGGGACCCTGGGACCTACATCAGGGGACCTAGGGGACCCACTCATCAGGGACCTAGGACCTACATCAGGGGACCTGGGACCTACATCAGGGGTCACCTAGGGACCCTACATCACGGGGACCTAGGACCTACATCGAGGGGACCTGGGACCTACATCAGGGGACCTAGGACCTACATCAGGACCTGGGACCTACATCAGGGGGACCTAGGACCTACATCAGGAAACCTGGGACCTACATCAGGGGACCTGGGACCTCATCAGGGGACCTAGGACCTACATCGGGAGACCTGGGACTATCAGGGGGACCTGGGACCTACATCAGGGGACCTGGGACCTACATCAGGGGGGACCCTGGGACCTACATCAGGGGTCCTGGGACCTACATCACGGGGACCTGGGACCTACATCGAGGGGACCTGGGACCTACATCAGGGGGACCTGGGACCTACATCAGGGGACCTGGGACCTACATCAGGGGACCTAGGACCTACATCAGGAGACTAGGACCTACAACAGGGGGACCTAGGACCTATACTCTCCCTCGGGCTGACTCCTCCGTCTCTTACGCCGCCGCCGCCTCCTCAGTTCCTTCGGCCAGGCTTACACAGGGACCCGACAGACACGCCCTACGAGTAAAGTGGCATTTACAGGGGACAGAGCTGACGTGGTGGAGCAGGTCTATGCCAGATGACCGCGTGATTAGCTAAATTATTATTGTGGTTTATTTTGGTGAGGTGTATTTTATGTAGTTATTATTATGGGTTTAGTTTCATGAGAGTTTATTTATGTAGTTATAATTGTGGTTTATTTACGTTGATATTATTGTGGTTTATTTACTTAGTTATTGTTGTGGTTTATTTTGGTGTGGTATATTTGCGTAGTTATTATTGTGTTACTTTGATGTGGTTTATTAAGATTATTGTTTTAGTTAATTTTTATGGTTTATTTACCTTGGGATTTAATTTTAGGGTTTATTGGAGGATTGTCGAGTTTTATCGTGTGTTTTATGCTGGTGTGGTTTAACTATCAAGTGTTATTGTGTGGTTAAATTGAAAAGAATTGTTGGAGGAAGGTTTTTTTGTTTTATGTTGCTGGGTTTAATGGTTTGGTTAAAGGGTTTATTTGGGTAAGATTCGTCATGGTAGATATTCGTCTTTGCTCTCTCTCTCTCTCTCTCTCTCTCTCTCTCTCTCTCTCTCTCTCCTCTCTCTCTCTCTCTCTCTCTCTCTCTCTCTCTCTCTCATTGCACAAGAAACTAAGAGCGGCCAGACGAGAGGAGAGGTGGAAGGGAAGAAGATAGAGAGAGGAAGAAGGTACGACATCTCTTACCCCTCCCCTCCAGTCCCCCCCTCCCCCCCTCCTTCGATTCTCCTCCTCCCTTGGGCAACAGGTCGCTCAAGGCTCGAACTCGTGTTTTCCGGTGGTCAGGTAGCCTGGGCTGCCCGCCCTCCACGGGACACTTGTTGCCGTCTTGACTAACGCCTCTTATTAGATTGTATCCAGGCTGTGTTAGTCGATTTATTACACAGTAGCTGCCCTCTGCCGGCCTGTGTGTGTGTGTGTGTGTGTGTGTGTGTGTGTGTGTGTGTGTGTGTGTGTGTGTGTGTGTGTGTGTGTGTGTGTGTGTGTGTGTGTGTGTGTGTCGTGCATGATAGGAGGTGCGGAGATGTGTGTGCGTGTGCGCGCTTGCATGCTTGCGGTAGTGGCAAGGGTTGGTTTGTGTACATACGTGTGGGGGCAGGAATAAGTGCACGTCTTGTTTTTAACGTGTGTGTGTGTGGTGGGATGTAGCGTGTAGATGAGAACCCCCTCCCCCACCCATCCACAAGCAGGAATGGCTCTTGGACCAATTAAAACATTAAGATGTTGTCAGTGGCTTGTTTAGTGCTGCAGGAGGTGGGGCGCTGCAGGGGCTCCTGGACACCCTTCCTCCCTCCCCTCTTTTCCCAATCCTGCCCCCCTCCCCCTTCCCCTGCTTTGCCATCTTGGGGGCGGGCGGGGTGAGGGAGGGTCGTGAAGACTGTTGACCCCCGCCGGAGAAGAGCGCCACTTTCTAAGGCAACGCTGACCACTTACATTAATTTTAAGGTAACGCCCGTAGAGGCACTGCACGTGGTCCACCCCACCCCCCCCCACACACAGTCTTTGGCCATCAGTAAGAGGCCATGTTGTGTTAGAAGGGGAAGCTCCAGCCTATGTCATTGTCTGGTGGGAAAAATATCGAGTGAGATCTGACTAAATACCGTGGAAGAGCCTGAAGGTTAGACACCCTAACGCTACCTGATGGAGTGTTGGGTTAGGTTAAGTTAGGGTTGGTTAGGTTAGGTTAGGTTAGCGTTAGGTTAGGTTAGGTTAAGCTTGGTTAGCGTTTGGTCAGGTTAGTGTTGGGTCAAATTTGGGTAGTTGATCATGTGCAATAAGCTGGGATGACTAAACTTCAAGTGATCAATATCGTAAATATATAATGTAAACAGTGATCGTTGAGTGTACTTAAGAGGTCGGTACAGTATGGTGATGTTCACACTGTAGCGAGAAGATTATTACAACAGTGTCCGAATGTTCTTGCAACTGACTTAACTTCTCCCTGTATGACAGTGTTCGTGTGTACAGTTATTTCAAGGGTAAGTATATCAGGGTGTACAGTGGCCTCCAGGTGTGTATGGCTGTGTGTTTGTGTTGCGGCTGTGTGTTTGTGTTGCGGCTGTGTGTTTTGTTTGCGACTGTGTGTTTGTGTTGCGGCTGTGTGTTTGTGCTTTTGGCTCTATTAAATTTTTGCAGATGGCGTGGCTTAGTTTGTGTTGTTGTGACTGTTGTTGTGGGCATGGTATCATCCTCAACACCCACCCCGCCTCACAAGTACATTTTACAGCTGGTTTAATCTGAGGACTAGAATTTATACTGAATGCTTTTTTTGATCAGTATCAGTCTAGGTCAAAGGTCATCGAGAAAACCACCACTCACGAGCAATGACATTATGACCTTATCAACACTACACCTCCTTGACGGTATAGTAATAATGGTTGACCCTCGTGTAGAAGCTGGAGGCCAAAACAACAACCACACCCTAAGTTAACGATTGCGTGACCCAGTGTCAGAATAGTCGAGAGACCGGACAACTCGCCAACTGCACTGGTAACCATTACCCCAAGAACACGATCCACAAATCATTAACATCCACGTTCTAATGACGTCACTATCTGTGACGTCCTCCCCATGCCGTCAATATCTCCATGTCATCAGTATCTTGATGTCGTCACTATCTCCATTTCGTCACTGTCTCCATGCCGTCACTACTTGTATGACGTCACTAATCTAGGCTATAAATTAAGGTGTTAGTTTAAGAGCGACTTTTGTTTTAATTAGCCATCAACCTGTCATCTTCCTCACCTGTGTAAAGGAGAGTGTGGAGGGAAGGGAGGATAAAGACTCTCGCTGGTTATTTTAGTGTATTGGTCAGTGTCTTATTTATCTGTTGTTATTGAAGACATCACCGAGGAGGAGAAAG